TTCACCCTGAGCAGGAGGAGAAACTTCTTTGGTGTGAGGGTGCAGAGCCTGGAGCAGCTGCCCAGAGAGGCTGTGGAGTCTCCTGCTCTGGAGAGATCCCAAACCCTCCTGGCTGTGACCCTGGGCACCCTGCTGTGGGTGAGCTGCTGGAGCAGGGGGTGGGATGAGATGATCTCCAGAGGTCCCTTCCAACTCTACCAGGCTGAGATCCTCTGAATAAATATTGTTTTATAGAGCTCAGTTTGAAAGTGTTTTAAAGATCTATTGTTGAAGCCCCAGGCAGCTCTGCCTCCTGTAACAACTGCAGTTTGAGTTAAGTGCTTTTGCTCCCAGCTCCCCTAAATACACCTTTAGAAATCAGTTGAACTTCCCCACTACTTGGTGGTTTTCCTAATGTGGGGTCTCTTGGGTGTTTTTCCCCCTCAAGTAACTATCACAATGTGTGCTACAATTATTCAACTACATTCACTTAATCATAAAATGTGTTAATTCCTCATCCTCAGTACCTGTTTCTACAGGGTGTAGCTGCTCTGTTTTCAACACTGCCTTAACCTTTCAGCAGTCAGAGAGAAACAAGTCTCAGTGAGTAAGGAATCAGCTGAAGAATCACTGGTTTGTGCTTTATTTCTTTCTTTCCAACAGTAATGCTGCAGCCTTTTGACTACGACCCAAATGAGAAGAGTAAACACAAGTTCATGGTACAAACAACCTATGCACCACCAAATATTTCAGATATGGAGGCAGTGGTAAGTGAAAATGGGGTCAAATGTGTAGTATTTTTGTTTTCCTTAAAAAATTCAGGCTTAAGTTAAACAAATCATGGTTGTACAGTTTAATTAAGTTTTCTCTGAACAAGTGTGACTTCCATACATGAATCAGGGGGTTTAATGTTCTATACAAGCTCTTAGAACTTGCATAGTGAACTGGTTGAATGGAAACAGTGCTGAGTGTAAAATAAGGTCAGGTCAGTGATGAAATATGGAGATGTGATGAAATATGCAGCTCAGAATTGATGCTGCCAAGGTGGGACATAAGCAATATGTTTACCACAGGGTGACAGGGCTAGAATTTGGTTCTTAAACCTCATTGTGCATGACTGTTGTGTTGTCTTCTCCCTGTCCCCTACACACCTCTGGATCCACGCTTGCATGTAATTTACTCATTTCCATTTCCAGGCTTAATTAACCATTTCTAGCTTTCATTACTTGGCAGTAATCAAAGTGAACAAAGACTCATAGTTGAGAAGCAAAGCTGAAAGTTGCAGCTAGCATAAGGAGAGTGTTGAGAGGTGCAGGAGGCAGGTACTGAGGGCAGGCTCCTCACCTGCCTGGGTGTTGGCACGAGTCTGGCACATAAAGTAACTCTTCTTCATTGTTGTCTTAGTGGAAAGAAGCAAAACCTGATGAGTTGATGGACTCCAAGTTGAGATGTGTGTTTGAAATGCCCAACGAAAATGATAAACTGGTAAGTAAGGAAAGGGGAAGGAACTCACCTGCTGACTGGTGGGATCTGTCATAAATTTGGGTTGTGTTTTTTATTTTTTAAACCTCTTTGATTTGCTGTTCAAAAAGGTTTGTAGGAATTGGTACTGAATTACACTGGAGGGGTGTTCAGTGTCTAGTTTTTTGAGGATTCATAGGCTCCTACAACAGCCCAGGTTGAAAAGGATCTTGAAACACCATCTGGTGCAGCCTCTCATCACAAAGGGAGCACCTTGTCCACGTGCACCTTAAGCCCCTCCAGCAAAGGAGACTAGTGCCAAAAATGATTATCCTTTCATTATTTTTATTATGGATTTGCTTTAGCATTATATTGCTGTTAAATTAAGAAAAAAAAAGACTCTTCAGTGCAGCATAGAGTGAAAAGCAAATTGCATAATTTGCTTTTTAAAACATTAAATGCTTTTCAATTTTAAAAATGCCATTTCTAATTCAGCTGAGTTAAGAAAGGCAGCACAGCTTAGAAATGAATGTGTGCTCTGGGAATCCTAAATGCAGTTTTTAAGGCAGTGGTGAAGACAGATAATAAGAAGGAGGAAAAAAAAAAATCCCATTACCTCTTTCATGCTCTTGCCTGCAGACAAAATCTATTCCAGTTGTGTAGGAGGTGACAGCTTCATTGTATAGAGACTGAAGATGTCTGTTTTCTGTTGCCTGATCTTGGGTATAATAGTTAACTGTCAGTTACCTGGAATTTTGGCACAATATGACTAAATTCATACACATTGACACTTTTTTTTTTAACCCTCATACTTGGAATTCTGATTTATGGAGTCTTAACACTGTGTATCCACTGCCCAGGCAGAGAGCTCCAACAGCAGGAGGAGATTCATTCCAGGGAGACCAGTCAGGTCCTCAGTGAGGTTTTAGTGCTGCTGAAGGAATTCAGCTTGCAAACCAGTGAAACCAACTGAAAAAGCAACAGATCCCAGTCTTCTTATTGGGGATACAAATCCCTCTGTATTTGGCACTGGTAAGGCCATACCTTGAATCCTGGGGTCAGTTTTGGGCCCCTCACTCCAAGAAGGACCTGGAGGGGTTGGAGCATGGCCAGAGAAGGGCAACGATGACTCTTGGCAGCTCCCTGACAGGAGGCTGGAGCCAGGTTGGGTTTGGTCAGGAGTATAGGACATGAGGATCTGGCCTCAAGTTGCACCAGGGGAGGTTTAGGTTGGATATTAGGAAAAATTTCATTGCTGAATGGGTTGGCCAGGGCTGTCCCAGGCTGCCCAGGGCAGTGTTGGAGTCCCCAGCCCTAGATCTGTTCAATAGCTGTGGAGATGTGGTGCTGAGGGACATGGTTTAGAGGTGGACTTGGTAGAGTTAGGTTATAGCTGGACTTGATGATCTTTTCCATCTTTTAAAGGTCTTTTCCAAACTAAGCAATGTATAATTCTATGAAATATGTTGGTCTTTTTAAATCCACCTGTGTGGAGTAGGAGGATCTGGCTCAGAGGCTGTCTCTGGCTGTGCTCCAAAGGGTGTCAGATGCCAGTAGATGCTGCAGAGCAAACAACTGCTACTTGCCTGGGAACTGAAGACATTCTGGCATCTTTTTTGAGTTGTTTTGTTATTCCACAGATGGTTTTTACCTTTTTGATAGGTTTTCTGCCACGTTTCCTGTGTGCCTTGGACTACTTTGGTTAGGAAAGGTGCAGGCTGGTGGTGCTCTGAAGGACATAGCTGTGGAGACAAGTGGGGGCCCAGAAGTCTGAACTGGGGCTGTTCCTGAGCCTAGTCCAGTGCAGTCAATACCACTGTGTTCTTCACATCTACTGGAGATCATTGTTTATTTTGAGCAGAGCTGTGGGAGCCAGATCTTTAATTTTAATTTTGGCTTTTTCACAGCTTTTTAAGTGACTTGTATTCAAAATGAGTAACGTGTGTTTGGGAGATGTTGTGAGACTGAAGTTCCATGTTTGTGCAGTGCTCTATTTTCCTTCAGAAAGAAGTGCTAGAAGCCCAAACTATTTGTGACACAACCTGTTGTCTTTTTTGTTTTGTTTTGTATTGCAGGATTTCTTGCTTCCTTTTATTTCTCCCCCTCAACTCGAGTGCTGTTTGATGTACTTTATCCCATGTTTTAGAATCACAGAATAGGTTGGGGTGGAAAGGATCTTACTAGAATCACAGAATGGTTTGGGGTGGGAAGGATCTTACAAATCACCTAGTTCCAACCCCTCTGCCATGGGCAGGGATGTCTGCAAGTAGACCAGGTTGCTCCAAGCCCCATCCAACCTGGCCTTGGACACATTGAGTGATGGAGCTTCCCTGGGCAGCCTGTCCAGTGTCTCACCCCCCTCAGAGTGAAAAACTTCTTCCTTACCTCTAACTTTCATCTCCCCTCTTGCAGTTTTTTCCCTGACTTGTTTCACTTTTAAGCCACGGATGATTTTTCTGCAGATAAATCCAATCCTCAAGCCCTTCTTAATGTTTTCAGAACGACATAGATGTGAGCAAACCCTCTCCAGCCCTGAACACATCCAAGCAGGACGGCCCCATGCCCAAATCCCACAGCGTTTCCCTCAACGACACCGAGACGAGGAAGCTCATGGAGGAGTGCAAAAGACTTCAGGCAGAGATCATGAAGCTCACGGATGAAAACAGGCACCTGAGAGTAAGTTCTGCTGCCCTGCTGCTCTCGAGGCACCTCCAGCTTCCTTCCTGGAAAGGGCTGGTTTGTCACTAGGCCAAGAGGTGTTCAGATACAGCTGTTAGAGCGTCAGGATTATTTGTAGTATGATTTTACTCAAAAGGGCTTGTGGGTGAAATGATCTCAACCTATTCTCAAGCTTTACTGGCCTTATTTTGAGCTTCTTGGTTGAGACTTTGTCATGGTTGAGACTTTGTCATGGTTGAGACTTTGTCATGGTTGAGACACCGCAGCGACGTCGTTCTCTGAAATGAAATGGTCCTTTTTACAGTGGTCTGGGTTGATTTAAATCAGAGGTACTGACTCAGTAGCTTTTAACAAAAGCCTCTTGTTACTGAGTGAACGAGGTCTCAAGAGGAAACCTTGTGTCCCACAAAAGGTTCGTGACCAGGAAGAGTTGTCTGGCTGGAGGAGGTAAGGAGAAATGACTTCCCAGTGCCTTGGTGTACAGGGGACATTCCAGGAGCCTCTCCCTAATTGATAGGTGACTTCATGTCACCTCTCCATGCTTCTGCCACTTCATTGGCTGTGGTAGCCCTTGATTGACCCATGACATAATGGTGGCTCCACGCTTGCAGTTCCAACACCAGTGGAACATCTGGAGAGACACCAAGCAAAGCAGATGTTCCTCCTTAACAACAAGCAATCCCTGCTCTTTAAATCTGACACAGAGTAAGTAGAAGCAGGATTCTTCCTTGTGCCTGGCAAGAGTTTCCAAGTCTTTCTTAACCAGAGCAACCAGTAGCTTACCTGGCCTTACTGGAACCATTATGGCTTGTTATACTCCTGTTTTTTTTAACCTTTATTTAAATGTCCACCAGTAAATTTCACCTTTGAGTTTCAGCGTGGAGAAGATGGCATTGATCAATTTTGTTTCCCATCATGTTGTTTTGTTTCTCTTCTCTTTTTCCCCCCTCAGGATGAAGGCTTGAGGCTCAGGAAGGTCACGCACTCGGATAAATCCGCATCCCCCACAGCTCTGGCCCTCAGAGAGAACGGGTCTAATTCTCTTCCTTCACTTCTTGTTGTAATTGCAGCCATTTTCATCGGATTCTTTCTAGGGAAATTCATCTTGTAGAAAGAAGGAGTGAGAGAAGCATGCAAAAAAAAAGCAGCTTCTTTGTTTTTGTTTTTTGATAAATTTTAAACAAATGTTTTTATGTCATTTCCATTTTTTTTGTTTTTTTTTTTTTTTTTCTTGGCCAGAAAAAAAAAAAAAAAAAAGATTTTTTGTTTACCTACCACTTCATTGGTAGTTTGGCCCCAGTTGGCCATTTTTTGTGTACAGCATCATCCCAGGCTTTGCCTTGTCCTGATCTCACACGGTTAGACAACACAAATCTGGAAAGACAAAACTGTCGGGCCGCCGGACAAAAATCCTACAGCCAGTCATCCTTAGCAAAGTGTCCGTTGCACAGTCCCTGAGCAATTGAGAAATTTAAAGAATTGTTCTTTCTGTGGTTTTAATAAGAATTCAGAAATCGTTTCGGAGTCTTGTAAATGCTGTTTTAAGAATCCTTTAAAAGTTTTATCTCTTCGCCGTTACCTCTCGGAGGAAAACACAAAAGATTTATTAGATTGCTTAATCCCACTCATGGAGGAATCTGAAAAAAAAAAAAGGTGTTCTGGGGGGAAAATGGTGCCTCTTCCTGTGTAAATTTGCTCCTTAATTTACTTTGCTGATGTCATGGCAGAATTTCTTTCTTGCTCCTCGTGAGGCATTGTTGAGAGTTCTTCATCCTTCCGAGCCTGTCCCGTGATATTTAACATGACAAAGAAATAAAATGAACAGATTTTTTTCTGCTGGGTAGCCTGGTTGTGCGTGTGGTACTTTTAGAAGGGATTCCTAACGAGTTCATTGTTCATGGTAATTTGCTACTTGTAACAAATGGCTATTTTGAAGTTCATTTGCTTAAAAATCTCTGGCTTAGACTGTTGTAATTGAAGCTTGGGGGGGGCGGTTTGGGGGGGGAAAGGTTTCCATTCCATTTATTTCAAAAAATGACCTGTTTTCTAGCTGCTTTCAGCTCCAGAGAGGATAGTTCTCCAACGTGGTTTGGGACAGAGGAATTTGGATATCCTGCAGGTTACAGATCCCAGGCAGGAATGTTTTCTGTTACCAATCTACTTGGGTTGTGCGGGGGTGTGATAATCAACCTTCTGTTCCATCTTTGGATCTTGTGGGTGTCTTCCAGGGGTCAACACGATTCTTTGATTTCATAAAGGGGCACTTCATTCAGAATATATTAACTCAGTGGGTTTATAATTCTGTTTGAGCAGATCTTCAGCAAATTCCAGTTGAGTCATTCAGACACCCACAGCGAATTCCGTGGTGCAGAAGAGTTGGTGTTTGCTGAGTGAGCCTCAGGAGCTCACCTTTTATAAGGAAAAGAACTTTTATGCAACTCTCAGCAGATCTACCTGTGGTAATCATGTATCAAACACAGTTTTGGGGAGGGGGAGGGGTGTCTGAAATGCTTCCCTGCACTTAATCTGACATTTTGCCTCATCTCTGAATACATGGTGGAAACAAACAGTAGTATTGGAACAAAATGTTACTTGTAGTTCTGACTAAAGATAATCCCACACAGGGATTGCTTGTAAACTGAAAAATGGTGGAAAGGGGATACTCCTGTAAGCAAAATTGTGTATGCTCTCAGGCAGCTTGGCTCTTGTGGTGCAGCTGAGTGTGTCAGGCCTCGGTGGACACATCCCTTGTGCAGCTGGGAAAACATGTTCTGGAGAAGGTGTGTGTTCATCTTGGTTGCCTTTGATTTCTAGTGCTTTGGGTTTTCTTTTTCAGAGAAACTGTAATTCCATCGTGTTCTGTCATTGCTCTCCATGATAAACTTTGTTTTTTTTATAAAATCTTGCCCATGTGCAAGGAAGATGATGAAGAAAATGCAAATACTGCTTCTCTTTTCACTCGAGCATGCAAGCACAGACGTTTCCAGTTCCTTGTTCCAGTGTCTGCAGTCGAGTCTCCTTCATCCCAGTGACTGGAAAAACTCCGTCAGAGTCTCGATTCTTGTGGTGGTTCAGGACAGTGTCACTCTCCTGGTGTTCTCACAGAACGTTGCCACATCCAACTTCCAGAGCCTGTTCCAAAAGTGGAGAATAAGGAAAGCAACAGCCTGTTGATGCTTCAGACAGAGCAGCCCTTGCTTTCTCCAAGGGAGAAAAGGAACAAGAAATCCTCTGGAAGATGTCGCAAAGTTGACGGTGCAGCGTGCGGAGGTGTTGGGAGCAGAGAAAGGAGTCGTTGCTCACTGCAGCTGACTCAGGTTTTGATATCTGGCAGCAGAAATAAGGTAAAAAGAACCATAAAATCAGATCGAAGGGACTTTTATTTCATAACTAACCAACAGGTGGTGGGAAAACTTGGTCATGGTTTAAGCACTAACGTCTTCAGAGTGCAGTGCGCTCACGGATGGCAGCAGGAGACTCTCAGTGTCCAGCCCTCCCTTCCCAGCTGTATATAAAATGTAACCCTCCAACTCTTTTGCTCTCAGGAGTCACTCTGGATGAGATCAACTGTATTCAGTGAATTCTGTAATCTGGATTAAACGGTTTGTCTTTGTTGCTGAAGTGGTTAGAACTCCTTGCTTTGTCTGCCTGCTGAGGGGGAGAGGCTCCGAGCGGGACCCTCAGGGGGTGCTGGCCCTGAAGTCCCCCCAGGGGAGAGGTGGAATTTGGTGGCAGATTGCCCTGCTGCTCCCTCAAAAGGGCAAGGTAGAACACATACAAAGGTCTGAAAGTTTGTACAAACGGAGCACTTTAAAGAAGGGTGGTTTAGAGGGTGAAGAAAAACCTAGTTCAATAGAAGATACCACTTCTGTAGTCATCCTGGGCACCAAATTTAACCCACTTTAAAAATAAAATAAACATATATGAAGTTCAATTTAAGAAAAAGTACTTTGTATCCACGCACAAGTAACTTGTGTGTTTCTCTGCCTTCTGTCAAAGCTGTTGAGCCCAGGCTTGCATGTTTCTGCTGCTGTGGTTGATGCCAATTTATGTTTCAGAAGCAGCCAAACACTAGCTTGAAACGTCCTTCTCCTCTTGGCTGGAGGGGGGAGCTGGAAGGGGACGTTTGGCCGAAGGGGAAAAGACAAAAATCAATCAGTGAAATTTATTTTTCAGGCCTTCTTCAAAGATATTAAAAGTTGGAAGTGTGAATAAACCCTTAAAAACGTGGCTAGTGTCCTTTTTTTTTTGTTTTGGGAGCTCTCCCCTGCCTCGGTAGGTTGGGTAGAGTGCTGATGGGTGGAGCTGGCCCACACCAGAGGTGGTGTCACTGCCCTGCTCCTGGGGGCTGAGGCTGGAGAAGACTCAGTGCTGGGGAGCAGAGCAGGGGCCTGGATCCAGGCAGTGCTGAGGGGGTGCCCCTGGGCTGCTGGGTTTAGAGTGGTCATGGTGACAGAGTGCTCTGTCTGGAGTCCCCAGGTCTGGCTGTGGAGAAACACCAGGTCTTGTGCAACAGCAGAACAATAGGTTCTTATCTTTTCTCTGGCTGGATGATAAGGTCAGTGCCTGTCCCCCCTCCTGCTTGCTGGGACAAGGGGTTGTGTGTTTGCCTGGTGAACTTGGATCTGGGCACTGCGTTGGATGAAGTCTTATTTCAGCCCCTATAAATGATGTCCTAACTCAGTCATGGTAGAAGCTTCTCCCACCACATTCAGAGCTTGGTTATGCTGCCAGCAGGGTCTGGAATCCCTGGGTTTATGGTAGCTGCTTCTCTGGCTGGCAGCAGCAAACTGCTGCTCTTGCAGAATCCTTTAGACAAGATTTAAAGGGTGTTTGGGGTGCAGAGGCGTGAGACAGCTGCCAGCAGAGCTGAGCAGCACTTGAAAGAAATGGGGCATTAATTGAAAGCTGGCTGCAATAGTTGTTATTATGTTTTTAAACTTGTGTATAGGGAAATAAAAAGCGTTGAGTTTGGGATTGGATTTTAAGTTAGTCTGCTTATTTCTGAAGAAAAAAATATGGCTGCAGCCTGTGAGTCATTTATTTCAGGACGTTCTTGAAAGTTTTGGCAGAGGATGGTGCAGGTTTATAGGTGAATTCAGAGAGATTTTGAGGCTGTTCTGAGTGTGGGCAGTCATTCAATAGCAGTCTTGGGGAGTGTCTCAGCCTGGCTGCAGAGATGGGGAAACTGAGGCACAAGTGTTGGGACACATGATTGGGAAGGGTGGTTTAGGCACAGCCACTGTTCTTTTCCACGCATTCCATCCTGTTTCTCATCAAGCCTTCCTTGAGGGGGGGAAAAAAAGATGCTGAGCAGTTGGGCACATTGTGTTTGTAGTGGTGGAACATGAGAGTGTGCCTGTAGCAATGGAGCCAGTGCTGTTTGTGCTTGCCAAGTAACAGTTGGCCAGACAAACCAGCCCCATCCTTGGAAACCTTCAAGATCAGGTGGCTGGAGCTCTGAGCAACCTGCTCTGGTTGCAGATGGCCCTGCTCAGTGCAGGGGGCTTGGACTAGATGACCTTGAAAGGTCCTTTCCCACCCAAACCAGTCCATGAGTCTATGGTCTTAAGTATAAAGCTGTTGCTCTGCTCCTGAATGGTTGAGAGGTGTTGCTTGACACCATTCCACAGCAAAGTCTGGTTTCTACAACTGTGTTTTGGAAAGGCTTAGGAGGAAAGTACATGAGAAGACAAAACTTGAAATCTGGAGCTGTCATCAGAGGTTCTAAAGAGTGCAGCTTTGGTAATGAAGTGAGTGGTTCATGGAAGGCAGGACCTCGTGAGGTGTCTGATTTTCCTTGATTGCCTTAATCACCTCAGGTTAGCTTAGAGTTTTGAAGTGATAAAAACGAGACAGTGGGCTGGTGTCAAGTGAAGAAAACAGGAGCATGGGAGGAAGAGAGAAGAGCAAGATGGGTTGCTTCAGAAGCAGCTTTGTTGGTGGCTTTGCCTCCCCAGGACAGCTGGGCTGTTGGAAAGGTCTGTGCCTGCTGCCTCCCTCCATCCATCTGCTGGAAACTGCTGTGGCCTTCTCCAGGAACGTGGCTTTCTCTCCAGCCTCACACCTGGTGACCACTCCTGTGACCAGGAGAAGGGTTTTCACTGCATTCATACCTGGGATGGTCTAACCCCCAGTTCCCAATGCAGCCTTTGACTTCCCTTGC